TAAGTACAATAAATCACTACGAACATATATCGTATACACCCCCCGGAAAGTTTACACTATTATGCCTGATCCCTGACTCATATGAATTTTCCCCCACTCATCACAATACTTGTCAAGTTTCGAAGAAACTTGACACTAAAAACGCAGTATGCTTATAATGATGCAGGTTAAATTAACAAACGCGCGGCATCTTTCGAAATATTTTGATAAAATATCTCATTATATATGTAATTGAGTAGATGACGTCACATGGTTACAAACTAAGCATGGAAACCAAAATCTTCAAAACAAGTTAATATACAGTTTTACGAGCACTTTCGTTTAAGCTTTGGTTTAAGAGAATAAAAAATTTGATGATACTGCCCCTTTAAGTGGAATTTTCAAGCTGTTAGCATTGTATAATGTGATATAACAAAGCCAGGAAAACTTTGCCAGTGGAATGTTCGCTATAAACACGCAAGTTAAAGCAAAGTAAAAGTAAAAGCATAGTTTATAAGCACGCAAGTAAAAGCATAGTTTATCGTGAAATTTGGATAAACATGCAATCGTGAGTTTTTCAAAGACGTCAAGTAGCACTCGTCCTTCGGACTCATGCTATTTTGAGGTCTTTAAAAAACTCATTCGTGCACGTTATATCCAAATTGCACTCGAAACCATGCTATTCCCTATACAAAACACTACAAATTACAAATTTACTGTATGTTCAGTACTTCAATTACTAGTTCAGTTTAGTGAGTTTAGTCCAAATTAGCTTTGCAAGATCCACGCCAAATATTCCAACTTTAGAAACGTAATTCCATGGGAATATTTACAACAAACCTGGAAACACCACTTTGAGAAAAGTCATATACACTGGGAAAAAAGTGAAATCCATACTAGTTTGCAATTGCACCACTAAATCCATAGTATCAAAAGTGAAATCCATCCTATTTCCATATTATATCCATACTATGGAAATATACAATTATTATGGATAACCAAAATCCATTTTATTTCCAATAAAGGTCCATACAATTTCCATTCTATGACCTTCTATGTATTTTCAAAAAATTTTCCAGTGCATTTTTCACTATAACACTATGGGTAAATTGTAGCTATGTTACACTAACCTTCTTCAGATGTTAAGAAGCTAGTAATAGTCTCTTCACTAAAACCATGGTAGTTCCCTGCAGCTACGGATATTTCATAGGTCGTATATGGGGCGAGATTATCAATTTTATATTCATTCACTTTTTCTGTAAAAATACTCCGGATTAGAGAGTTTTCTTTTTTCAGCTTAATCCAAAAGCGTGAAAGACCGTATCTTTTATGATTTTCAGGATATAGCCAAGATATTGTGGCACTTCTTGTCGTAATGTTAGCAACATTGAGGTTCGAAGGTTTGCCTTTTACCAAGCCTAAGGGAAAAGTACAAAATAAAATTTTGAAAAATGTATATAGACAGATACTTGTGAAAAGAGGATGTAATATACTGTATTGTGGGAAAAAACGACAGAAGATATATGGCAGGGAGACAATGCCGAACCCTTACAGACTAACTGTAGCCTACTATATATATTTTCGCGCTTTTTCACGAAATGACAATCATCGAGTGCAATAGAAATGCATAGATAATATACAGCTGCATTTTTTATTTTGTAAGCCACAAGAGATTTCTTTATTCACTTTTAAGGATTTTTCCACATTTTTAGGATTTTTCCAAAGAATTGTAAGTTTTAATGGACTTTCTAATTGACTTAGGGAATTGAAGAAATCCCAAGGCTGATCTTAGAATGTGTCATTTAGAGAGAATGTATCATTTAGGCTAATAATACGTATTTTTTAGATTGTCTCAACCACTGTTCCTAACTGCATGCCTAAACATGGCGTTTGTGTTACCCCAAAATTTAAAATATCTTCCGGGTTGACACCCGAATTACCCCTACCAAAATATAAAATCACATACACGTAACCAATCTGATCATTTTTCTTAGAGATTTCCGGGGTCATAATTGTTACATTTGCAGGAAAATATTAGCAATTTTAAAGTTGTAATAAAACATACACTGGAAAAAAACCCCTGAAAATCCATATAAGGTCATATAGTGGGGGGGGGGGTGAGGGGGCCGGGGTGGCCGGAGAGCCCAATACTTTTGCGGACCTTACATATTTCCTTACTTATATATATATATATATATATATATATATATATATATATATATATATATATATATATATATATATATATATTATATATATATATATATATATAATATATATATATATATATATATATTATATATATATATATATATATATATATATATATATATATATATATATATATAATTAATTTGTTAACTTAAAATATAGTCACAACTCTGAGTTTCACGCTCAATGCGATCTTCAGGCGACAATGTTTAAATCTCGATTAAAAATTCCTGGAATTTTTAATCGAGATTTAAACATTGTCGCCTGAAGATCGCATTGAGCGTGAAACTCAGAGTTGTGACTATATTTTAAAGTTAACAAATTAATTATTTGCTCTACGTTGTTAAATGGTATTGAGCACTCTTTCTACACTGTAAAATTTGATCATCTTTGGTCTCATTAATATTATATATATATATATATATATATATATATATATATATATATATATATATATATATATATATATATATATATATATATATATATATATATATATATATATATAATTTGGTTTTGTTGGTTATAAAAACTTTTGGCAAAGTGCTCAATGGAAAACCAGAACATATTTAAATTAAGGTAGGCCTACAACAAATCAACAAAATCCACTAGGCATCTTTATTACTAAACAGTTTCGTACCACAGTATGTGGCACTCTTCAGATAAATTGACCTAACATATTTTCACCTAACTGTTTTAATAGTTCTCTATATTTGGCTTTTTTTCGTTAGGTCAATTTATCTGAAGAGTGCCACATACTGTGGTACAAAACTATTTAGTAATAAAGATGCCTAGTGGATTTTGTTGTTTTGTTGTACCTTAATTTATATATATATATATATATATATATATATATATATATATATATATATATATATATATATATATATAGCTTAAGATGTTGGTTTACGAAACACAAACAGTGCTCAATACCATATAGTTAGAGCGTAATATAGTTTTTCGTTTTACCTCAAAAAACCACAACAGTCTATTTCATCCGTATATTTCAACCACATGATGATTCCTATACGGATGAAACAGACTGTTGTGGTTTTTTGAGGTAAACGAATATATATATATATATATATATATATATATATATATATATATATATATATATATATATATATATATATATATATATATATATATATATATATGCCT